ATATATTTTAAAAATATATTTTTATTGATTTCAGAGAGGAAGGGAGAGGGAAAGAGATAGAAACACTCCACAGGCCGATGCTCTATCCACCGAGCTAAACCAGCTAGGGCAATGAAAATATATTTTAAAAAACCCTGGGAAAACAAGCACCTCGCCCCCAGGGTAACTTCCCCTCCCCTAGTGTATCACTGGTCATGCAGTTTGGACCCCGACCTTTTTCTCCCTAAGGTAACACCCAGGCCTGTTGTTTCAGCTCCAGGCCCAGAAAAGCAAAACCTGACAAGTGGCACACAGCTGCCTCGGGACCCCCTGCCCTGGCACCTACCCATCAGTGATCACACCTGGAAAGCTGACGAATATCCTATTAATACCCTCACCTAAGATTTCCACCTATAAGAGCTACATAGGTCAGGACAAAGGACCAGTGCGCCCCCCTCCCCCTCTAAGGGTCCCATGAGACTCCAAGGGAGCAATGGGCAGCAGCAGCTCGTCCCAGGCTAACCCCCCGAACCTGTGTCCAAGGCCCCCTTTCTCTGTGTACCCCTTCCCTTTGAATATCCCCGTACTCCTTAAATAAGTTCAATGTTCTTTAATCACTGCCGGAGATGGCTATTTCGCTTGCCCGCACACCTCAGACTTGAACCTTTCAGGGGTGACCTGGTTTTCCTGTATCCACTTCCCCAAATGCTCGCCTCCCCACCTGCACATGCTCTCCCGACAGAGCACCAGCACCTGTAAGCACCTTCCCACCCAGTGATCAGCCAGGGCACACGAACAGCCAGACGAACCAGCACTTTATTTAATCCTAACAAGCACGCACTCATCTGCCAATATCCAGGCATAACTGAAAATACTTCCTGTAGTTCCCAGAACATCGTTTTGTTCCATCACATCATTTCCCAGCCATCCTGGAGCTGCTGACTCGAAATCCCGTTGTCCTGGGCATGCAGGAGGCTCCCGGAGACTCACCCGAGTCAGGGCCTTCTCGTCCCTGCAAGGGAAGAACAAACAGCTTTACAACATTCCCGTCTGTGCCCCTAACTCACAGGGTGGAGGCCGCAGCAGTTACCCCCGGCTCAGCCGGCTCATTACCCTCCCGAGTTACAAACCGCCGGCAGGACGGCCAGTTCCGGCCTCCCGGGTCCTTCGCAGTAAGAACAGCTCTGAAATATGGACGAAAAGGAACGTACCGGACCGTATGCTTCCCATCATCCATTGCAGCCATTAGGTCAACCTCGCAAACATTTGAAAAATACATCTTTGCGCAGTCACCCCGCACCCCCCAGGGCTGTAGACGTGAAGAATGTCACTTGTGCAAGTCAGAATCTGATACCAATTAAATGGTGACAGCTTTGCCAATAAACAAGAGGATGCTCTTCCATGGCTAGGAAGGGAGACTGCCACAGAGACAGGTCCCAAAGACACATGGAGGATACATTTTAAATAAAGAAAAATATCTTAGTTGAAAAGAGTTTTATGTGAAATAATGTAAGTAATTGCTCTACATTGTACTTTATATTCTCAACTCCTCTCAAAGAGATATTAATTGACCCTATGTCACTTAATATTAATCGACCCTATGTTCAATGACTGCAGGACTGACTTCCGCCATGCCAACCCAGCACTGACTGCCATGAGGGCTGCGATCAGACCCTGCGTTTCCCTCTTGGTCTGTTCCAAGCCGAGGGTTCGGTCTTCATGAAACCCGGGTCAGTCTTTGCATTGGGCAAGTGGAATCGCTGAGGACTATTTGAGAGTCGCCATGGCTGGGAGCGTGATCTCAGAACAGTTAAAAACACGTTTGTGAAGGGATGTTATGGGTTCTCATCAAAAATGCCCACACGTGTCTGCTACACCAACAGGGTTGCTTTAACACGAAAGCCTCCATCTGCAAGCCCACCCGCCTCCAGGAGCTGGCGGGAGGTTGAAAATGGCCGTGGGTAGATGAGGCCGGTGCCAGGTGACCTGGCAGGTGTCAGCGGCTCGGCTGTCTGAGTCCCAGGCATGGGGAGACAGGCTCTGACATCACCACCGCGTGGAGGATTTGATGGCAGCAGCATTGGCTTCAGAGCGTGTTGCTATTTTGTTTTATTTATATCTCCTTTTCTCTTTAAACCTCTCCAGGTTGTGTTTGTTCAAGAGAGGAGCAGCCTTTGCAGCCTCCTCGGTGGAGAGCAGACCTTCGATCTGGGTTCACACAAAGCCAGAGTCCTGTTTAGAAACACGTGTAGGTCTTGCATTATTTGCTCTATTACCGATAAAGAGGGTTTTAGATTCTGGCACGTAAATATGTTTCCTGCTTATCCACGAGGGCAGGAGACTGAGCGCAGCACAGGCACAGCCACAGTTCTTTACTCCTTCACAGGCCTCCGTCCAAAAGCGGTGATGCAGGCCCTTCACACATGGAGGGGGGTGGGGAGCAGGGTGGGGCAGCCCTGCTTTTCCCAGACCTTCTGTCTCAGTCCTGATCTACGCACTCTGGGTCTGTAGGGTCTTCCTTTTGAGGTGGATTCAGGCATCTGGGGGACGTGATGTTTATCACACGCTGTTTTCTGTGTGGGTGGTCAGCATTGGGGTGTTCCTGAATCAGGCTTCCTTCGGCATTGTGGTGGTGGTGTGGGGTGACAGCATGAAGGTGCAAACACAACCCGTGGGGACTCCTTGCTGAGCGACTTCTGTATACCTGGTGGGCATCTCCCCTCAGAAGAGGTGCTCCCTATGTCTGCGACCAGCAGGTGTGTGGGGTGGTGGATCACGCTGGTTGGCTGCCGCAGTGCCCTCATAGCCTCACTGTCAGTGGGTGGGGCAGAGTACCTGGGACTCTGGATTCCCTCTGGGGTTTGTAGAACCGCCCCCTCCCTTTGTTCTCCCATTCTCTGCGGAGGAGACAGCTGTTGGCAGACGGCAGGACGGATGGATCCCCGATCAGACCTACCACACGACCTCCAGGGAGGTTTCCTGACCCCTCTATGTCCCCCGCTCACCTGAAGCCCCTAAAATAGTTGGGGTGCCCACTGCTCAGAGGCTCCTGTGAGCTCGTGGAGGTGGGCCCTTGATGATCGGTTTTTATTTTTTTACTACATTTCTTGGTGTGCAGTGATCGCACTTCATCTGGAGCAGGGCGGGCTCAAGTGACCTTGTGGAGCATCTAGGGAGGGGAAGCAGCCAAAGTGCCATGGTTGTCAGTGCCGTGCAGCTCTGGACCACCCCACTTGGTTTTAAACGCAAACCCGCATTGGACAGGCCTTGAAGGTCTTTTTTCCTTCTGTCTGCTCACATTCAAGTGCTGACAGTGCTGGTCTATTGGTGACTGGCCTGTCCTCTTTAGATTCAACCTGCAGGACTACTAAGGGAGCCAGTCCAAGGGAGGGGAAGCGGCCTCAGTGCCTGAGGCCAAATTCCAGGAGGCTGGCAGTGCTGTTGGGATCGTGCCGGCAGCACTGGTCCATTGGTGCCTGACCTGTCCTTTTGAGATTGACCCTGCAGGACTACTAAGGAAGCCAGTCCCCAGTTCAACCCCACTCCCGATGCTGCTTGCGCACCTCCTCCTGTCCGGTCGTGACCTGTTACGGCGTCCTGGCCTAATTAGCATATTTCTCTATTTTATATATAGATATAGATAGATACTAGAGGCCTGGTGAACGAAATTTGTGCACGGGGGGGGGGGGGGGAAGCCTCACCCC